TGTGAGTGAACTTTATGTTTGAGACTCATTCAATGAAAGACACGTTTTGAACATTAAAACATTATAACATCTTGATTTTTCAGACTTTCTATTAACTTATACTTTTAGAATATCTAATAGAAAAACATTTTTTTTTAACCTTAGGTACTGGCGTATTGCTGTGTTCATTGGACATAAGATTTGGTGTGATTGATGGGTAAGCTCCTGGATTCAGATCTACTCATCCACCACAAATTTAGGCAGTGATTCTGGGGCCAACGACCAAGGGCCTTGAACTTGGAACCCTGCAGTTTCCCGGGTCATCTTCTTTGTGAAGTCAACAGCCGAAACAGAACCCATTCACATGCATTCCCCTCCCTACTGTGTCGGGTGTCGGCAAGGCTTTAAAGTCACGCACCACATTTCACGTTAACATTGGTCGAATTTTCAAGGATGCTCAAAAAGACAAAAAAGGAAAAGGAGAAGAGATGAAATCTACACTTTAGTCAAAAGAGGACGCAAAAGGATGCTCAAATTTGCACGCTACACACAAAAAGCACTATATAATCTTTAATAATTGAGAAAATGAGGATTAATTCATTGCTTTGATTGAAAGTAAATTTTTTATTATGATGCCCCTCAAATTTTAGCAAGAGAGGGAATAAGTACAAAAGAATAGACAAGAAGAAATAAACATATAGCCTCAACTGTAATAGATTCATATGCCACTCCCATAAGGAGAAAATGTGTACTTGTAATCATCCCCATCGGCAAATCCAATACTAGGATCCTTCCCCACTCTAATCATGCTCCTAACTTTTTCTATTCTCTCAAGAATTCCCTTCACTGCTAAATCAAATGCATCCTCAAGAGTCCCTAATGTAGACCTGGGATTGGCGTATACTATACTGGGAATCAGCTTTATAACCTCCTCTCTCAAGGCCAATACTCTGCTCTCAGGAATTTGAAGCAATGTCTCATTGATGTTCATTGTCAAATCACTAACATCCTTTACTGGTATGTAAACAGAGTATTTAGTATAATTCTTTGGTAAATGCCACTTATACTGCGCATAGGCAGTACCTGGATGGAAAAACACCGGTATGCACCCTGCCAGAATTGAGTCGAAAACTGAACGCCTGGTGTATGAGTCACCTGCGGGCTGCAAGCAAAAGACTGATCTTCGGAAGACCTTCATCACATTGACTGGATTGTTACAATTTGTTGCACCATAGTTGCAGTCTAGCAATCTGCAACGGTTCTTTGAAGCAAGGCATTGATCTATAAGGTTTCCCCGGATAGAATTCTGATATTCAGGCCTTGGGGCACCAGCAAAAGAGAACAGATAAGGCCTCGTTTGCCATCTCATTCTGTCCTGCCACTGAAAAACCTCACTGTCCTTGGAAGGATGGAAGCATGTCGGGTATGGTATTGCAAAATCATTGTTCCAAGCACTTGCTTCTACTGACAACATTGACATGTTCCTGGATTCAGGCAAGAACCTAAGCTTGCTACCCCAATCCGATTCATTATCTGTTTGTCTCCTAAAATCCCATGAAATCCTTCCTGCAACTAAGAAATGATCCCTCCCCCCCATCCTTTTCCATTCAGGCTTTTCTGTTAGCCACTTGACAAAACCAAATGCAGAAGAATCCCTCACCGAAATGTTAAAACCCCAAAGGTACCTACCCAAATCAAGTCCAGCATAAAAAGGCACAAAAATGGCAGATGCAAGAGATGAATCATTCGTCAAACATTTATAATTCTTTATCCTGTTGTGGAAGATGACTTCTAATAAGAACTGATTCGTCAGAAACCAACTGTTGTTCAACAAAACATCCTGAGGGTTTTCAATTTGGGGACCAAAACCCAGATTCACCAAGTAGGGACACATATTTTTATCAGACCCCGGAGTAAGCAACTCACAATTTCTAAGCAAATCTTCATTGAACTGACTAGGAACATCATGCACAAATATATATCGACCCAAACAAGAATCCACATCAGATTTCACTTCCTCTCCTTCCTTAGTGCTAGATTTAATCATGGGTTTATCAGTTTTGTTTCCCACAAAACCAACAATCGAAATTGAGTTATTGGGCAATAGAAAAATGCTATCATTGAAAAGGCTACTGAAATCATGAGATTTAGAATCTTGGGTGCTGACGGAATTTGCAAAGTTGTTGTTTTCCAGAACAGTGACCCCAGTATCTTCACCATTTAAAGCAGAGTAATCGAAACAGAGCAAGACAAAGCATAAAACAAAGGAGATAAGGACCACAGACCAGAGTTGGCTGTTGCACAACTTCCCAGTGACGACGGATCTCTCCATCTTCCGCAGGATTTTGTTATCTTCACAAGAAACGAATAAAATTCAGGGAGAACAAACAGGCAAACAGGAGAAGAAGGTGAAGTGGTGCAAAAAGACAGATTTTCGGAAGGAGCGTAATGCATTGATGGGAAGCTTAATTTCCGGAAGGTGTGCGCAAAAAAAATATTTTCATCGAGGAAGCAAACGTCCGTTACTTTGTTGGGGAATACGAAGGCAACTCAAGCGGCCATGGCGATGGACCATGGTCATGGGTCACCCCTCTTTAGTTTTTATAATAACTTTTTATAGGAAATGGAAGAAAATTAGGATATTTTGTTAATTAAAAT